TATCCAGCGTGCAAGTAAACCTTCTGGCTCCTTAAAATTCTTCAACCAGATCAACGAAGAATGGTCTGTTCTTAATAAAAAGGGTCTTCCATATAGATAGTGTCGGAATTGTTTGACAAAGGTTACGACTGCTAGTAGCTCTCGATATGTAGTGCAATATCCCATTTGGGATCTGGATAGTGTCTTGCTACCATAAGCAATTACTACTTCCTCGCCATTTTGCATCTGTGAGAGCACAGCTCCGACTCCATATGCGCTAGCATCAGTATCCAATATAAATTCGTCTGTTGGTGATGGGTACGATAATACTGGTGCAGTTGTAAGGAGATGCTTTAAGGTATCAAAAGCATTTTCACATTCCTCTGACCATTCAAACTTTCTGTTCTTTTGTGTCAAGCGGGTTAGCGGGTATGCGACATTCGAAAAATTGTTTATAAACCTGCGATAATAGGATGCGAGTCCTATAAAGCTGCGTACTTCTGAAACGGAAGTTGGTACGGGCCAATTCCTTACAGCTGATATCTTGTCGGGGTTACATCTAATACCTTCTTGGGATACAGTATGACCCAGAAATTCTACTTGTTCTTGAAACAAGGCGCATTTCTTCGGTTTTAGTTTAAGATTCGCTGTACGAAGTCTGTCAAAGATGACAGTCAGGTTCTCCAGAGTTTCTTCGAATGTGGCACCAAATGTTATGATGTCGTCTAGATAAACTAGACATTTCTCCCATTGTAGGCCAGATAGAACGGCTTCCATTAAGCGTTCAAATGTCGCAGGGCTATTAGATAAACCAAACGGTAACACTTTAAACTGAAATAGACCCCTGTGGGTTGCGAACGCTGTCTTTGTTTTATCAGATTCGTCCATAGCGACTTGCCAATAGCCACTAGCAAGATCGAGAGTACAGAAGAATTTAGCACCGGAGAGTGTGTCTAGTGATTCATTGATTCGTGGCAGGGGATAGGCATCCTTAATCGTTACGTTATTTAGCTTTCGATAATCTACACAGAATTGTGTAGTTCCATCCCGTTTCTTCACTAGAACTATTGGCGCAGCCCAAGGTGAACTGCTTGGTTCTATTATATCAGCTTCAAGCATTTTGTCTATTTCTTGATCTGCTACGGCTTTTTGGTGCATAGGGAGACGCCTTGGTGGTAACTTGATTGGCTTAGCGCTGTCAGTATTTATTGTGTGTTTCACAAGATCTGTACGCCCTAATGGGGTATTTGGTCCCATAAAAACGTCAGCATTACGTGCTAATGTGTCGCTTAACAGCTGGCGTTGCTGTTCAGTTAAGCTACTCGAGCTATTGTCGACCAGGGACTGCAAATAGTCGGGTAAGCTTGGTAAGCTTGTCTCCACTGGAGGGCTTTCTGTGACTTTTTTGCTGTCAAATTCAGTTACAGATTCAATTGTTTGTACGGACGCCACGGTAGCATTTTTCTTAAGTATCACTGTCTTTGTTGTCGGATTTAAGACAGAGAAAACACTTTGTTTTTTGTGTACATTAACAACAGATTTTGGTAACAAAATTCGTTTATCATCGGAAAGTGGTTCTATCAATCCTTCCACACCATGTGGAAATCCACAGTCCGTGTTTCCTTTCAAAAACATCTCGCATTTAGCTGGTATGCTAATTGTCTCTGTCACATAAATGCGTGCGCATGTACTTTGTAATTTGTCCTCTTTTACTAAACCGATCTCACCAAAGAATGGTGAATGTAGTCGTCCTAGGTTCATGTCCATTATAGCCTCATATTTTGAAAGAAAATCAAGTCCGAGTATACCGGACAAATCTCCAAGTTGAGCAACAACAACAGTTGTCAAAAATTCCTTCCCATTAATCCATAAGTCTACATCGGTTTTACCCTTCACTGAGAGCAAATCCCCATCGGCCGTAGTCAATGTAGTGTGAAGATCAACTAGATCTTTGTTTCCAATCAATGAATCAAAAATTTCATTTGATATTAGACTCCAACTGGACCCCATATCAACAAGAAAATAAATTTCTTTATTACAAAGTTTTGCTTTGACAAACCAACAACTTTTTGAAATACTGTACAAACGAGCTTTCGTGTCTTGTTTTGGCCTATTTTCATGACTGGGTTTTTCAGGGGCTGGGCTTACGGCCGTGGGCTCAGCCCATTTTCGTTTAAATGACTAGAGTCATTATGGGTTCCCTTTTTAATTTTTTGCTTTGAGTTTTTCTTTGGGCATTTAGAACTAATATGGCCAGTTTCATTACAAGCGTAACAAACTATTTCGTGAGGCCCACTATGACCATTAGGTCTTTTCTCGTAAGGACCATTATGCCCTTTAAATTTCAAAGACTTCAGTGTTTTCTGAATCATGTGTTGAATAGATTCTTCTAGTTTTTCAAGATTTACATGACTATTGTCATTTTTATCCGTGGGTGGAAGAACAGCGCGTGCATAACCAACATGTGGTTTCTCAATGTCCCGCGGTTTCCGTGGGGTGTCCTGAGACCCTTCAAATGACTCAAATTCGAGTGCCAGAGAAATAGCGCGATCTAGCGTTTTAGGATGAGAAAACTGCACGTAGCGTTTTAGTTCGTGGCAACCTAAACCAGTGACAAACTGTTCAACAGTAAGACTTTCTCGCATATCTGAAGGAAATGTTGGGAAAGCGCGACTAGCTAGTCGCCTTAACGAGTATCCATATTCGGACACAGTTTCACCTGGTTTCCGTTTTCTAGTACGAAACTCGCACCTGTATGCCGTTTCACGCTCGGGTGGAGAAAATCGCTGAGTTAGTGCGCATTTTAACTCGACATAGCTGCCTAGTTCCCTATACGAGAGCTCACTAAGAACTCTTTGCGCTCGACCTCTCAAACTCATAGCTAACTGAGTAGCTTTCTCGGCATCTGTCCACTCGTTCCACATTGCAACTTGCTCGAAATGACATAAATAATCGGGCCATTCTGTATTCTCTGCGTTGTACACGTCCGGTTCTTTGTATTTTCTAAAACGATTGCTTTTAGATTCAGACCGGTTTCCATAATTATTATAAAGACTTTCTTCTTTCTTAAAATTAACATGAGGTGTTTTACAAACATTAAGTTTGTCTATGCCATATTTATTTGCGTAAGAATCACACGGTGTGCTAGCTTTCGATCGCATAAAGTTAGCATCGGAATGGCTCTCCATACTCTTTGTGTACGACGTCACGTGATCTATGGATTCGTCTGTATTTTGTCTATACATCGGCGAAAAACATCTGTTTTCTGATTGATTAGGTGAGAAATACGATGAATTTCGGGGACACTCGGTATCAGTGTTTATTTTGGAATCAGAATTATCTGATTTATATCCATGTTCCAGCGACAATGACGGAGAAAAAGATGAAACAAGCGTGTCGTATGCAGAATCTTCGTCAAGTAAGTGCGTGGATCTAACATTTTTCACTTTCGCATTGTCGGAAACTTTAGCAGTTTCATTGCCTCCTATTTTAGAATTTCCTCCAGATTTAGAGGATTGTTCATCCGATTTACAAGTTACACGAAGAAAACTTGGAATGAAAAATCGCAAAATTGCGAGAAACCCTCCCCAAAAAGACATTGTATGTAAATAAATATACAGCGTCAATCGACGCGTAAAAATCCAAGATAAAACACCAAAATATTCTTTTATCCTCGGAACGAGCCCCCAAAAATATCTATGTAACGGGACTGTCTAGGGGTTAGTCCCGTACATATAGTCCGAGTTCAAAGGATAAAAGAATGACAAGAATTTCAGTGTTTAAAGAATTATAACTATATTCTGTTGCAATATTTACAATTTACAAACAAACGTAAAAGATATGAAACAATATCATATAAAATCCAAGAATGCAATAATTACCATTGTAGAAATTTAGCCCCAGTCCCCAAAAATACGTCTGATCAGTAATTAATGATAATGTAGACTCTTCTGATTACACAATATACATAGCATATAATAATAGTAAACCCCGGCCGGGTACTATAGACCCGGGCGCGCCCAACCCGAACGGGTTATAAACAAAGAGGAATAACTCTAAACAACAAGTAATGACAAATAGAGGGAAATATGAATAAAATAAGGCACATATACATAAATACACTGTAATTACATACAAATTTAATAACATACATGTAAAAACCACCACACTATATAATATATGAAGAGATTAGCCTGTAAAAGTTAATATACTCAGTTTGTAATTTAATTAGAATTAGTGGACTTATAGACATGCTAGAGATTTTATGATTGTAATGTATCAATCTAGTGAGGCATTTTCAATCTCTGAATCACAGGGGCTTGTTCCCAGCGTGTAATGATTATTTATTTTTAAAAAATCATATACCGTAATAATAAAATTACAGTATATTAGTATATGATTTTTTAAAAAAAAAATAATTATGTAACACGCCGGGAGCAAGCCCCTGTGTCCGAATCAACTGGTAAATTTGTTTGCAAATACCAAATAATATTTGGTCCTCTACATGAAAAGCAATGTTCTGGTTATCACCAGTCATTATAATTAAAAGTTTTGTTTTCTTAGAAGGGGTTGAAACCTACCCTACACCCATGGTTTTGAATGAATCCGCCTATGATACGTGTAGAGACACACTCTTTTCATGTGTGTCGCATACATCTCTACAAACAATGTTTGCTTTCCATTTAAGCATAGACAGATACTCAGTACCAGTTATTTTTCCTGACATATGATACATAAAATAAATATTTTCTTACTTTCTTTGGGCTCTGTTTTCACATTGTGACACATTCATTCATGCATAAATGGGTTAGGAATATAAAAGTTCAAGGTCATTTATTCCTAAAATTTTGATTGGATGACAAGGACAAGCCTACGTTTGCTGTGTATGAATACTTCAAGTTAAAAACAGTTGAAAATTAATAAATATGGATCGCTTCTACACACAAAAACCGCCAAAAGAGTAAAATGAACTATGAAAAACATTGAATTGGATTTGAATAAAACGAAAAGAACTCAAAAATAATTCTTTCAAAAACGATAGGATTTACTTTTTATAGAGGTTTCATCAACAACACGAGTAAACAGGCAATACTTGAGCCGAAGACTAAAGTGAACAGAATCGCAGGAAAGATGAGGAGTGTGCGATATTTGCAGAAATTTTTGCGACCCTCTCTTCGGTTTGTATGTTTATATGACGTTTATGAGGGAAATCTTTTGTATTGAACTTGCTGTTATGTAGTTAAGGCTTGACAATTTTGTCTTGAACACGAAAACATGAGCAACCTCTTACTGTTCATGTTCAAGGACGTGTGTGTTTTTGTACAAATTTCAGTCACTTCTCATTCATGGCATAGTTCCTCTTATTTTTCTTCAACAAGGTTCATAAATTGCATTTCAAAGTGTGTCTGTGTTTGACACGATTGTGTAGGACAGAAGAGTTATGCCCCTTGAAACTCCAAAACTGCATGAATTTTTTTCCCAAAAGGTAAAGATATCTACCTGCAAGAAGACTGAGCAGTTTATTTGAAATGGATATCTTTTTTCAAACCATCGTTAATTTGATAACATTTTAAAATAATTTAGAGATCAATCTTAAACAATCACTGAATCCGCAGTTTTAATTTTCAGCTCACCTGAGCTGAAAGCTCAAGTGAGCTTTTCAGGTCATCGATTGTCTGTTGTCTGTCCATCTCTCTGTAAATTTTTCTAATTATCAACTCCTTAATTCTTGAGAACCACAGGGCAAACATAAAAACAAAGCGTCCCTGGGTAAAGGGGATTCTAAATTGTTAAAATGAAGGGTCAAGTCCCCTTTTAAAGGGAGGTAATGAAAAAGGGACAAAAATAGAAGAGGGTAATTAAAAAGTCTTCTCAGGGAGCACTTGACTATGAAAGCTGAAACTTATTTGGAAGCTTTCTGTGCTAGTTTTTGTAGAATTTAAATTGTTCAAATCATGGCCCCCAGGGGGTAGTGTAGGAACCACAAAAGTAAAATTTTTTGTAGTGAAATATATGAAAAATCTTTAGAAATCTACTTCTCAAGAACCACTGTGCCAAAAAAGCTGAAAATTAGACAAAAACTTTTTTTTTCTGATCTAATGAAGAATGTAAATTGTTCACATCATATGTTGGGATTGGGGGGGGGGGGGCATAACAGATTTTAAAGGGGGAAAATCTTTACATCTCCTCTTCACTAAAAAGGAAAAGCTTAAGCCATGTTGAATCATAGAAATTTTAAAGTATGTGGAAGCATTCTCTGGTACTGTTTAGCTTTATTTTTGTGTGAGCCAAGACTTGGACTACAAAAGACAATCAATATTTATCATAGGATTGAAATAAAATCTGATGCAGAACAGCGTCAGCAGAGCCTTGTTTAGTGATTCAGGAAAGGCTTAAGCCATGTTGAATCATAGAAATTTTAAAGTATGTGGAAGCAATCTCTGGTACTGTATAGCTTTATTTTTGTGTGAGCCAAGACTTGGACTACAAAAAACAGTCAATATTTATCATAGGATTGAAATAAAATCTGATGCAGAACAGCATCAGCAGAGCCTTGTTTAGTGATTTTGGTGAGCATCATGGCCAATGGGCCTCTACTGTTAAAATGTAGAAAAATGTTTGTCATACATATGGTTTCCTTGACTGTCACACATGATAGAATTTGTTAAGTGAAGTTACAAGGCTTTTGAAATATAGCCTGGTTAACCTTGTACCCTCCAGGAGAGATCCTAATGGAAAGAGAAGAAGCAGTAGATTACTCAGCCATATGATACTTTAGGGCCATCAACTTTAGGCTCTGTTTACATTGACATTTCTTTTTAGGGTTTGTTTTCATATACTTGGTCTAGTCTGTCACTGGCAAGAATGTATATGATATTGGAACACAGGGCACGATAAGTAGGGCTGTATATTGCAGTGTCAAGTTACTTTGCAGGGTTTTTCAATGTATTTTTCATTGCCAGTAAGTTTTAAAAGTAATGGCCCTATGTTTTTTGCCTTGTATTTATAGACATGTCAACCTCTACATAATTTCAGACTTTTTCTTCAGGCATGCAAACATTGCAACAACTTAAATACATATCTAGTTGATCATATGCATTACATGTATTGTAATATGCAACTTTTTATATGTATTTATAGAAATGCATCTGCATGCTATTTGTTTGTGCTACCACATAAATAGCTCTCTTCATCAAATGAATATTGCAGTCTTATTCTTGCTACAAAGATCTCCTCCTCGCAAGACGTGAGTCAACACATTGCCGCTGGACCCCTGGCATATTTTATTAGACATACATTTTAGGGCTTGATTCTCTGATTGAGAAGCACCGATGAGATTAAAGCTTTCAAAAGCAGTAAGATAATAATGTAAACAAAAGGATTCAGTTACTCTTCATGTGTTACAAGTTGCATGTTTATCATAGAATGGCTCAATGTGATTGGTTGAGAGATAAAACCAATCAAGATTTGTAATTTTTCTAAAAGACGTAGTCTCGTTCAACCAGACCCTCGGCTGTCTCCGTAAATCTCCGACCACCCAGAGGGTCTGGTAAAGATACGTAATATCGTTTGTAACGCCAAAACGAGGCTTACCAAAATTCTGGTAAAGTTTTTGATTGGCTGAAAAGAACACACCTACACGATTTAAATAAATACATGATAAATCTGCAGAAAAATAACATAAAGATGTAAAAGTTATATGTCTAAAAGTTAAAGCTGTTACATAGGAATTATTTACGGTAATGCCCACCAGTTATAGGTAAGTGTGTTTTATTATGTCTTGCAAATATTCTGTACGAAAGCAAAAGTGAAAGTAGTGTAGCCCAGCGAAATACACATTCCTTCGATTGATATTGTAATTTCTCGTTTGATGTCCCAAAATAAAGATTAGTTTATTAATATAAAATCACAACCCAAAAGAAGAAACACATATAACATTTGTTTTCAAAAAGGATCGTCAAAGTGAAAACAAGATAGCTTCCTCTGACGGTTACAAGCGCTAACGTGATTCTTTACCAGACCCTCTGGGTGGTTGGAGATTTACGGAGACAGCCGAGGGTCTGGTTGAACGAGACTATAAAAGACGTCACTTCAGTCAGCCCACAAATATTGAATGAAATATGCCAGGGGTCCAATGGCAACGTGTTGACTCAGAAACCCTGGCTTGCAAGGATGAAAAGATATAAAGTGCCTGAGAACTAAAATACACCCCGATAATAAACCTTGTCACTTTCAGTAAAGTGATTTTTAGCCGGGCTCATTGCTCAAAGAGCAATTGCCGGCTTATGTGATCCTGTTCAAGGCAGGATGTTGACCCCATAGTCGCCATTTTAAAGTTACGTGCAAAAATATAGTTCTTACTCTCAACCGCTTTTGAGATAATACAAACGCTAAATAAAGCAACAAAATAAAACGAAGTTTTATCTTTATAAAATAAACATTAGTAGTAATGACTATGAAAACTTCATTAGTCAAAGAACATAGTTCATTAGCGTAAGGATTTTTTATAATCAGTGTTACCGTAGTTCTCTACACATCATACGAGGTAAAGCAGGAGAGGGAACCAGACTGGCCTGTTTGTTTATATTCAGCTGCGGTACCAGATTAATTCTGATTCTGACAAAATCGGACCGTGGCATTTGGATTGAAAAACTCACTGTCATTGTCTTATCATTTATATTGATAGTTTTAAAATAATTTTTTCATCAGAATATAATTGTGATTCATGTAAGAAATCCATTCTACTCTGTAAATGAGCCCGGCTCTCTGTACTTCTGAGTACTTAGTCTTTGATTTATATACATGTAAAAAATGAGAAGAGAATTAAATCACCCTACCCCACTCCATGGATTTTAAGTTTTCACCTATCAGTCATTTATTATAAGAATATACGAAAGACTTCTTGAGACTATTCCAAGAATTGTTCTTAGTATGTATAGTTCTTAGTTCTTAATGCTCAACTATGACATAAACCCACTTTTTAGCAACAAAATTAGACCTAGCTTACTTCAACATTTTTGATGAAGTTATTTTTCTACTATAGGTGTCAGCAGGTGAGATGTGCAAGCTCTGCGACAAACTATGACTACAATACATACATAGCTGCTAATGAACCCATGTATAACTACGGACCAGACTCAAAAGAAAGAAAGCAGCTGGAGGAAGTCCTAGATAAATATCGGAATAAAACAGAAGATATTCCTATAGTTATAGGAGATGAAGAGTTTAGAACCAAGGATGTGCGGTATCATGTTATGGTAATGTCTTAATGCATTAACCAATTTGGTTGATATTGACCTGTATCTTTCAAGTAATTTTTATGTCTCAGTATGAAGCAGTTATTCTTTACATGAAATAAGGGGGGAAAATAGTTTATATGGTGTATCTTTTTTCTTTTCTTTTAGCCATTTGATCATCAGAAGAAAGCAGCTAAATTTTATTATGCAACTCCAGTAAGTAATATTTGAGATGTAATTTTTCAAATCAAGTATTTAAAAAGGACATATAGTCTTATACATTTGAACTTTGGCATCTCAACCATCAAATATGTTGAAATGAGCCAATCCATGTACTGTAGTACCAATCTTATGTTTCAGACAAATTCGACTTTGGTATCATGGCAGCTGAATGTTAAAATTGTTTGCCTTTGTTAAAACATGTTGTGTGATTTGCATTTTCTGTTCCTATTTTTATCAGGAAATTATCCAAAAAGCTATTGACAATAGCTTAAAGGCCAGAAAACAATGGGCGAAAACTCCAATAGAGAAGAGAGCTGAGATTTTTATGACAGCAGCCGAGATGATAAGTAAAGAGAAGAGAATGGATTTATTGGCAACCACGATGATTGGCCAGGTGATAATAATAGAAATGAAATCATATCATCTTTTTATCCTATGGGGTATAATGAAATTAATATTTTCTTTATTTTTATGCCCCCTCGAAGAAGGGAGGACATATTTCTTTGATGCTGTCTTTCGGTCGGTCGATCTGTTGGTCAGTCTGTCGTTCTATTTTGTTTCCGTTCATTTTCTTCACAACCATTGCACATACTGAAATGAAATTTGGTATACAGATTTATCAATTACCGGTACTGAAATGAAATTTGGTATACAGATTTGTCAACTAAATATCTAGGTCAAGTTCTGTTTTGGGTACAATCGCACCATTTCTGTCAGAGTTATGCCCCTTGGACTTAGAAAAATTCTAATTATTTGCAGTTTCCATTCATTTTCTTCGCAGGGGTTGAACATATTGAAATGAAATTTAAAATACAAATTTATCAGCTGAATATCTAGGTCATGTTTTGTTTTGGATACAATTGCAGCATTTTTTGTCAGAGTTATGCCCCTTGGACTTAGAAATATTCCAATTATTTGCTGTTTCCGTTCATTTTCTTCGCAGAGGTTGCACATATTGAAATGAAATTTCATATACAGATTTATCAGCTGAATATCTAGGTCAGCTTATGTTTTGGGTACAATTGCACAATTTTTGTCAGAGTTACGCCCCTTGGACTTAGAAAAATTCCAATTATTTGCAGTTTCTATTCATTTTCTTCGCAGAGGTTGCACACATTGAAATGAAATTTGGTATGCAGATTAGAAAAATTCCAATTATTTGCAGTTTCTATTCATTTTCTTCGCAGAGGTTGCACACATTGAAATGAAATTTGGTATGCAGATTTAACAGCTGAATATCTAGGTCAAGAATTGTTTTGGATATGATCGCTTCATTTTTGTCAGAGTTATGCCCCTTGGACTTATAATAATTCCAATTTGGGGGAGTGGGGCATAAGTGTTTTACAAACATCTCTTGTTTTATACTATTACAGTTAAAGAGTACTATTTTAAATGGTAATGACCCATTCAATCATGAAGAAAAAATAAGGGAGGCAAGGTCGATGCTGGCAATGTCAGATTTTAATATTCTTTCTGAATTTTGAAGTGGTATATTGAAATTTTATCAATTTCAAATGTTCTATATAAGATGACTTTGTAATTTGTGTATCATATGTAAACAAAATGTATTTTTTTTTTCACTGATCAGGCTAAGAACATATGGCAGGCAGAAATAGATGCTGCAGCAGAGCTGGTTGATTTCCTAAAATTTAACTGTCAGTTTGCAAGAGTAAGCAAATGAATTTTGCATTTCAATTTAGAGATGAAATCAAAAATGATTTTATTTAGTAATTTTTGCATTGATTATTATTTTAATGTTTTCTTCAGGATATGACTTCCTATCAGCCATTGAGCCCTGAAATAGACACTGTCCAGAATTCTGCTGTCTACAGAGGTTGTGAGGTATTAATGCTGTAAATGGCTCTTCTTTGTGCATGAAACGGTGTCTAAATGCTATGGCCATCACGTTTTGAATCCTCTGTATGTTTTGTAGAGGTAGATTTCAGAAAAACCTGGGCCCAGTAATTGCTACAAAATATTTTTCCTACACAATTTTTAATCCTTTAAAATAGTTTTTATGCCCCTATAATCATAAAATTTGGGGTTTGTAATATTACCAGTATAATTTTGTCTGTTCATCTGTCTGTAATTCTATTTGTTTATCCTTGCCATAGTTTTTGAACATTGGTGCTAAGGCTTTGATGTGTCACTTTTAAATTCCTTGTAAAGACCTTATTTGGTTACCAATGTTTTCACCATTGGTTGGATGGACCTCGAGTTAACATTTAAGGTTCAGAAACCCTCTGCTTACTCAAACAAAATGTAGCTTGAACTTTTATGCTTTTCTTAAGAAATATATTTTAGAAGTAAAATACAAACAATATTTTCATAGCTTGCAGGGCAAAATTAAACAAAAATGTCATTTCAACATGATAAAGGAATTATAGACATTTATAATTAAGAGTTACCTCTCTTATCAGAGTATCAATGAACCTTAATAGTATCATATGGATCATCATTTTCATACAAGATAACCATTTATGGTTTCATTAATAACACGCTAGCATTTAGGTTTTTATTATTAAGAAAAATTATGATTTAAAATGACTTTGTGATGTATGTAAACATACAGAATATTTTTTTATGCAGGGTTTCTGGGCAGCCATCACTCCATTCAACTTTACAGCCATTGGTGGCCATCTTTGTTCTGCTCCTGCTTTGATGGTAAGTAAAGGAATTTTGTTCTGAAACAACATTTATAGATCTATAATTCTTTTGATTTATTATCGCAGATATTTATTGTCAATTCAATTAAGTTAATGTAAACTCTAGTCAAGGATATTATTTATTCAATATGAAGTAAGTTATATTAGATGCATAAGAACAATGTGAAGGGGATCTACATATAAGGGGTGGATCTAAGTTTCAAGGAACAAATTAAATAAGAGTTAAAATACTCATTTTAGCAAGTTGCATAACCTTATGCAAACAAAATCCAACACTATATAAAACTCTTTACAGGGTAATGTTTGTCTGTGGAAGCCTTCCGACACTGCTATGCTGTCTAACTACACAGTTTACAAAATCTACAGAGAAGCCGGCCTCCCTCCGGGTATTATTAACTTTGTGCCAGCAGATGGACCCGTGTTTGGTGATGTCATCACAAAATCTCCTAATTTAGCAGGTGTCAATTTCACTGGCAGTGTTAGGTGAAGTAATTTATTTTTAGTAAAGTACTTTTTTTTAATATAAATGTATAAATAAAATTTTCAGATCGTTTATTGCAATTTGTTTATTTTACATTTATTTTGTTTGTTCCGATCTTGTGTTTAATAACTTCATTTTATATTTTAGAACATTTAAAACTATATGGAAATCAGTTGCCCAAAACTTAGACAGCTACATTTCATACCCAAAGTTGATCGGAGGTAAATACCAATAAAATTATTCATGAAAAATTGCAGTGCAAATCAGTAGAGCTACAGTCTCATTGGAAAATTATGGTATTTATTTCAGAATGTGGAGGAAAAAATTTCCATTTCATCCACAAATCGGCAGATGTTACATCAGTAGTTGTTGGTACGATACGGTCAGCATTTGAGTATGGAGGACAAAAATGTTCAGCATGCTCACGGATGTACATTCCACAATCCATGTGGCCAGAGGTGAAGCGGAAAATGCTGGATATCCTCAGTCAAATCAAACTAGGGTCTGCTTTAGACAACACAGTCTTCCTATCAGCTGTTATTGATGACAAGGTTGGTACACAGTTATCTCTGACAAAGTCTTTGAAAGTTTACAGTTTTTGTCCTCCGCTTTCACAAAAGAGAGAGGACATTAAATGTCATTCATCTGTCAGTCCGTTTGTCGCAAAAACTTAAACCTTGGTCATATTTTTTGAAAGAGAAGAGATAGTGCTTTCATATTACACATTTATATTACCTGTGACAAAACCTTTCTAAATACACTATGATTTTTGACTTCATGACTTTGATCTTGAAGTTTGACTTACATGTACTTTTCAAAAACTGTAACCTGGTCATGACTTTTGATTTGGAAAAGTTAGGGCTTTCACATTTTACAATAACATGTATATTACCTGTGACAAGACAGGTGTATAAATGCAAGAGCTTCTAAACATGAATATTTCATTCTCATATTTTATCAAAAATAATATAATACAATAACCTAAAATTTAGAAAAATTATCCTTCTTATAAATACATGTACTAAATTACTATCTAGCAAAAAAAGTGAGGTGTTGTGAAAATTAAATGCTCAACATAATTTTAGCTTTTATGAATGAAATTCTTGGAAGAACACATTGTAAATGTAATCCAGGGTTCATATTTTATCATGAACAGGCATTTAAAAGAATCAAATCATATATCGACTATGCAAAGGACTCCCCCAACCTGACTGTGATAGCGGGAGGTCAGTGTGATGATAGGTAAGGAATATGTGCTTAATTAATATCATATCCATCTGGATGGTGCATTACTTTCTGTTTTTGTTTAATAAAGTCTTTTTTATTAGGCTAAAAAACACATTTAAATGTATGACAACTTTAAATTTTAAAATGTTGCAGTTTGGTTGAAGGGTGAATTTCTATGTTGATCCATTTTGTAGCTCACCTGAGTCAAAGTCCCTAATGAGCTTTTCTGGTCAAATATGTCCATTGTCAGTCCTCTTGGTCATTGCAAGCTTTTCATATTTTTGACTTCTTTTCAAGACCTACTGGCCAGGGCCAGTTTTAACCAAACCAGTCAAAAAGAGCCATGCTCTCTTTTATATGGAGATAGTTAAAAATTACTGAAAATATAATTGCATCTTGAAAAACTTCTCTAGAACCACATGTTGCAGAAAAGATAAAACAAATTGGAGCTTTAATTAGATTCATTTTTGTTCAAATCATGTCCCTTGGGGCACAGTAGGCAATCAAAGTTTTACATTGGAATGTATATAAAGTATTCTTTAAAAATCTTCTTTTTAGCAGTTAAGTCTAGATACTAAATTTAATGTAGAAGTATCTTCAGGAAAATCATTACATGTACAACGTAGGATGGGTTCAGATTTGCTAAAAAATTAGGACTCATGAGAATAGGGCCACAATAGGGTATCACAGTTTTTTGTATATTGGAAAAGTAATTTTAAGAATAGCAAAACAATAATTTGTCAAATTGTATTAAGAAAATGTTATCAGGTTGTGCATATTAAAGTTTGTTCCAATCATGATCCCTGGGGTAGGACCACAATAGACAAAGTTCTACATAGGAATACAAAATTCTGCTGCTGAAGAAAAGTTGCACCATAATTACTCTGATGAGCTTTGTAACCCATGGGTCTCTCTTTTTTTCAGTCAAGGTTATTTCGTAGAACCCACCCTAATTGAGACAACGGACCCACAAGATAGAATTATGCAGGAGGTAAGGAAAATTCAAGTGATTCTTAATGAAAGGGCAAAGGTGTGACATAGATGTATGCATACATGGATCTCAGCACTGAGCAATTAGTCTCACTGTGTTTTATTTTTTCAAGTTGATGATGATTTAATACTTGTTCAGATAGCTGCGGTAATGTAGTCCTCTCCGATTCTTTTTAATCTGATGCCCCCCCCCCCCCCCCCCCCCCCCCCCCCCCCCCCCCCCCCCCCCCCCCCCCAAAAAAGAAAAAAGGGGGGAGGGCTACATTATCGCAGCTATTGTTCAGATTGTTTCAAAGTGAGTCATCTTTCTGTCCTCCATTATTCAGGAAATCTTTGGCCCAGTGTTGACTGTGTTTCCATACCCTGATGATGAATACATGAAGTACGCAGAACTGGCTACCAAGACCTCTCCATATGCTTTGACAGGGGCTGTTTTTGCAAAGGAGCCGTAAGTACTTGTTTAACATGTTCATTCAATAAGCTTTTTCAAAAGCCATGATAAGTCATATTTACATGGAAGCATCCTCAGATAATCTAGGTTCATTCAGGTTTGTTCTTCAACTTCGAATTATGACCCTCAGGTGGTAGGATCAATCCACAATTGGCAGTGAAATTTTTACATAGGAGAACAGTATATTTATCTTATAGAAATACATATATTAAACTTTCTTCTCGAGAGTAGAAAAGCCATAATTAATCATATTTATGTAATCATATATGTAATCATAATTTGTAATATGTAATCATATGTAATCATATATGTAATCATAATTACATGCATATACAGAAGCATCTACAGATAATGTAGATTCAAGTTTGTTGAAATCATGACCTATTTATAGCAGATACATTTTGTAAAAAAAAAAAATTGCATGTATGTCACTTCTCAGAATCAAAGTATACTTGTCCTTTCTTGGCACCTTCCATTAAAACTTTGTCAAAATCATTTGCAAAGTAGATACATAGAGTAAAGAGAGAACACACTTCATTATTTTTTTAAAATGTCTATTTAATATGTAATACCTCTTTATCCCACAGTAAAGCAAGGGAGGAATTAGTGGATGCCTTCCAAGACGTGGCAGGAAACTTTTACATTAATGACAAATCAACAGGATCTGTAGTGGGCCAGCAACCATTTGGTGGAGATCGCTTGTCAGGTGGGTCAAATATTTAACTACACACACCCCACCCCCCTTTTCAAAAAAAGTAATTCAAAAAGTTGAAGAGCATTCAACAAGCATATCTGGTAACAACTTGTATTTCTCATGTCTTTCAAATTGTTTATATTAGGGATGGCAACGAGTACCCGGTTAACCGGGTACTCGTTCGAACGTCCGAGTATCGAATGCTAAAAATGGTACTCGGTTACTCGGATGTATATTTTTGAATGTTTCTAAGCTCATTTATTAATGCATTAAAACATCGCTTTTAAAACGTAAAATGTTCATTGTATTTGTACATAGAGTAATTAAAGGTTTTCTACACCTCTAAATGACCGTTTATTCAGTAATTATCGAGACCAAGCACCTGGTAAATGTACCTGGCTTTTCTCACCTTCGGCTGTTTTCTACCCTTATTTCTTGTTTGCTTTAATTATTTGTTTTCACTGTTCATCATTCTATTATGTTTAAATAAATTAGATAATTTTGTCAATTCTCCAAGAATCCGTAAATTCTCAGGAAAAGAGACAGATGATATAACACGTGCGAAGAAATTGTTGATATGGTTGTGTTTGATTACATGCCAATTAATTCAAATAATTGAAGGCAACGGCTTTAAAAAACCGATGTCCATCGTTGCATCAAACTACAGCACACAGTCCCGTAATACTATAAAATATAGGATAGAGAAATGTACGAAGATCGTAAATCCGCTCTGTTGTAGGAGAACTTGATCAAGTTGATACTGTAGCTCTGACGACTGATCACTTGGACGTCAAAAGCAACTAAAGAGTTACATTACCATGATTACAATTGCGGAGCTGATAATTATTTATTAAAAAAAAAACACTGTGAACCGTGCATGATTTTATTCCTTGTGTTTATCTGCTAAATAAATTGAACTTTAAAAAATGTTATATAAATTTTTGTCGGGCATGAAGTGCTCATAATTATTACATCAGATTTACGGGTAATCCCCTCGGAGCATGTGGTTTTATTTCTACATGCACAAGAGTTTACAATGTTTTACAGTTATCAATGTTATTTGTTCATATATATTTACACTTTTACCGAGTACCCGGGTACTCTATCGGAAAAACGTCCGAGTAACCGAGTACTTAAAATTGACCGATTTGACACCCCTAGTTTATATCAAACATTCTTTATCCTTGTAATTTTCTCTATGTGTTTTTTGAAAATGTTAATCTTTATCAAAAGACAGAGACTTTGCATCTAGGGAGAACTTGTAGCAAACTTAAAGGAAAAACAGAACACTGACTACTATAAGCATTAAAATCTACCTCAAACAATGTGTTTGATGTACAAAGTAACAGCATTGAGACTCAGTTGAGAGCTCTGGCTGTCAGATCTTTATCTGAGATGAAGAATTTTGTAACATAAATAATTGTTTATTTGACAGGAACCAATGACAAGGCAGGTGGCCCCTATTATCTGACCAGGTTTGTGTCGATGCAGTGTGTGAAAGAATCAAAGGTCCCCCTTGAAACTTGGATGCTGCCCTCTATGAAGTAAATCTTCATATGAAAACATATGAAAGACTCTCCAGAGTTTCCAAACAGATGTAATGTTGTATCAGTGATCAGCATGTAATGTAACATTTATCCGGTATATAAACACATATCATAATTTAGGTGTACAACTCGTTACTCCTATAAAATTCATATTAGCATTTATGTCCACTTTTATTGGGGGTGTCATTATCTGTTGCTTGTAAGGTGAAGTTCAAGATCAATTGATGCTCAAAGCATGTGAATTTAAAATGATCTGAAAAAAATGTGAGTGTAAAACTAAATGGGTATTGATATCAGAATCTCAAAGTTATAATGATATGAACCAGTACAATACAAACTGCTTGATACTCGCTGTCAATTTTCATTGATACTTTTGTTGATCAATATTATTTTTTTCTTTGTTGAAATCCACATATAATGTTGGGAGTTTTTAACCTGGTTTGTAATTTTATGAATGTGTATTATGCATTTAAAACATGTAAATAGCATGGCATTTGCTCAAGAAAGAGTGGTTTTCATTTTTATTTGTTTTCATTTTTGTTAGTTATTAGATTATTTTTGATATAGATTATGATTGCTTTTGATATAGTGCTAAAATATAATTTTAGGAGGCGAAAGTTACAGTAAAATGTAGATTTTTTCATATCTTTCTTCTACCTCTTAATTTATAGAAATTTACAGTATTTATGAAGGTGCATTATTTATAGCTCTCAGATACATGAATTTCCATCTCAGAATACATCTTTTGAATAGTGAGTTTAATAGTTCAGTGCATAAAAAAAATATGTTCATTATACAGAATTCTGCAATTCACATTTTGTGAAATTATGTTTTGTAATAAAAATGCTTGGAACATTTTCAGTGTTAACCACGATTTGCATAATACCTTTGTGTTAGATTTTTTTTTTATCAAAAGTGTCATGAACAAGATTTCCTTTTGATTGATATTTTTTTTATTGTTTGCTAAATGAGATTGATACATTTATTTATTTTTTTTATCCCAATTCCTATGTCTTAAAATTCAAGTTGTTTGCCAAAATCTCACCTGAATTAATATATTACCTCTGTAGTTCAATTTTAAATTATTGTTTTGTTTTTGTATCAAACATCTACATTAGATGGAAATACTATATATTTGTAAGTTTTGTAGCAATGAATACAAATTCTGATATTTATGAGTCTTGAGATTATATTTTATTTTTGCTGCATGTGCTTCAAGCATCACAATACCTGTTGCAGAATCATACGGTATTGAAATGAAACATGAAAATGTTATTGTTTTTTCTTTGTGTGTATGCAAAAGAAAGATTTTTGGATTGAACTAGAAAAAAAATACCTGCTGGAAACATCAAAACAAAATTGAATATTGGATTTGTGATACCGGTACTTTTATTAAAATGATACAAATTTTTGTATACTTTTTTTACTTTTTTTGTAAATCTTGAGAATGTATTTTTTGTTGATGCATCAGAATACCAAATGGCACATGAAACTAAGATATATACATGGCACATGAAACTAAGATATATACAATGCTCCATGATATATTACATGTACATTACATTGTTACATTGTATATGCTAAATAAACTTAATTCAAATGTTCCTTGCTATCCAACCTTTTCAGCAGGAAGATCTAAAAAATAAAATAATATTATTTAAACAAATACTCAAAAATTGTTTGAATTGTTCATGATGAGAAATGTTTGATGTTTTTCGTGTAACTGTGATACCTGATTGGAATGTGTATATGGCTGGACAGTTTATTGATCCCTGACAGCAGAAGTGACAAGTGTAATTTTTATTGGAGCTAGGAATGGATCCTTGGGTTATGTTACATTCTCGTTCATTCATCATTTCTAGTTTTAAACATGCCTGAAAAAAGAGATTGATTTTTTTAAAATACTGATTAATTGGACATCGTCATGCTCTCAATATACAGAGTTTTTTAACTTCATTTTAAAATATAATTTTTAAAATATATCCATTTTTTCCACTTGCCCACATGTTAGCTGTGCAGCCAGCAGTTATTGTTCCTGATTGCAGATTTAGGCTACAACCCTGCAATAATAAAGGATAAATATAAAACCCAGGGACGTAGCAACAGGGGGGGGGGGGGGGGGGGGGGGGGGCTGCCCCCCCCCCCATTTTTTCCCAACATTACCCTTACTATTGAAAATGTCCATTGAAAGGTTGGTTGCCCCCCCCCCCCCCACTTCTTACCACAGTATAGTGATATGAAGGAAATGTAGTATTGTATCCAAAAAAATTGGAAGGAAAAAGAAGTTGGCCTTGGAAAAGTTGGGCACTACCCCCCCCCCCCCCCCTACGAAATAGGATTTTCGAGGTTCCCCCCCTCCCCACTTTCAAAAACGATGCTATGTGCCTGAAACCTCTATAATCATTAGTCACTGCTGATATTTGAGACAAAAATTTAGTTTCAAGAAGACTATACCTCATCCATTGATCCACATTTTGTGACATTTTCTAAGCAAACTGTAAGGTTTTTCTCATTGCTGCATGTTGGACATCCATCTATAAAGTACACAGACTGCATATTGACATATCTTTTATATTTCATAGTTACCCTGATAGTTGCAATAAAAATTGTCAGATGAAATCGGTAAACCAGATCCAATTTTCAAATGCAGTATAAGAAATCCAGATGTAGATAAGAAAATTTACAAATACAGGGAAGTAAAGAGAAAGTAAAGCAAAGCAAATGTGACAAGTACTAGACAAATTTTTCTTTTTTAAATTTCAGGGTTTTTTTTAAGAAACAGAGTGTTATTTTTATACTTTAGAGATCAAATAATAAATGAAAGACAAAATGGGAAGGACCTGTAACTGGAAATGTAGTTTTGACAATTTTCGTTGGAATTTTCATGGGACCTGTTGATGTCATTGACGTAGGAGGGGTTGTCATAGGAACTCCTTGTGTTGTCATGTTTGCTGCCTGTGTTATTTTATTTGTACCTTCAAACAAAAAAATTGTAAAATGAAAAGCATTAGAAAGTTGAATCGTTCAAATGCATTCAACTGCATTCATTGATGTATGAAGTTACGTACAAAATCCACAGTACTTTCTGCACGACGTCATGGCGAAGTCTCGCAGACTTGTTTCCATGCAGAGACTTGCGGGGAGATGAGTACAGTCTACGGTATCCTCACACAGTGGAGAGTCTGTCAAAGATACAATCAGAATTCTCTACCATTATTTGTACTCAACATTTGTGACTTTCCTCACCATCGAATTTTTGTCGGTGACGATGTATTCAAACTTTCTGAGCAAATACTCCTTTCAACCATAATTGAAAGATCGCCTCTATAAATCAAATTAAAACTCAAACCAAATTACAAGTCAATAGATGTACTGTGTCATAAGCTGGTGCATAGTGCATACTTGAACAATATCCGCAAGTGTCCGCACACTTTTTCAAGGCCCATCTTTGGAACACCCCGACACAGGCGTGATGATGTTGCTGACAATCACTGCGTACGTCTCGACAATCTACAGGAATATTGAATCATAGAACACTACAACTGACTAAGTTTACCGTCTATAATTTTAAAAATCATTCCAAACATATTGCACAAAACTATGCATTTATTGGGACTTCCGTGGTCAGAAAATTGCCTTACCTGTGCCTGTGGACAACATCATCTGTGTTGTGGACGTCCCGGAGACAACAGCTTTGGTTGTAGCTGGTGCCGGTGTTGTACCAGTTTTTGTTGTGGTCGAGGTTATCCTGGTGGTTGTTGTTGTAGTTTTTGTTGTTTGGGTAGTACTAGAAACTGCAAGAACATGAATATATTATGGTTTGTGGGAATTTCTTCTAATTATATTTGTTGTCACCCGTAGAGGGTGTTCGATCCGATTTGCTCCAATCATCCCGATATAGGACCGAAAACCAATTACATGAACTTTGACAAATGATACTACACTGTACATAGATAACGATGAAATGTTCATTTCATTTAAATAACAAAGGCGAACGGTTGATTTGTAATTTTGTATTCACTTGGATGTCAAGCCTTTTGTATTGATGAGTAAATAAGAACTTACCAGTGCAGTAGCCACAGAATTTACGACAGTTTTCCCGAAGGAATCCCTGGAAGTTCCCATTCCCACAAATCGCTTTCCCATAATCAGCACAGTCAGGAATATTGTCCACACATGGAGGGGTTTTTCCTAAATAGATGCATCTAAAATCTCCATTAATTACGAATTTGAACACCCCTTGGCCCTTGTGTAATAAGATTTTAAAAAAAACACACAAGTTGTCATTTTGAATTTACTGCTTACAAATTTTTTTTTAACATTAATCGTATTCACTCGAAGAAGTAAATTCCAACATTTAGAACATATGACAAGCCAATAGTTTTCGTTTTCTACATCTTCATTGTAAAATATATGTAGTATTACATGGTCAAACTTAAATATAAAACCTATATAGATAATTTCAGGTAGCGGGTTTAATTCGTTATACCTGGGCAGTATCCACATCTCAGAGGACAATGTAACCTGGCGAAAGGTTCGTAAACTCCCTTACACTGAGAATCATCGTAATACCAGCACTTTAACGTTGGATCATCCTGGCAATCTAAGATCAAAATTTCATAACATTATCGATAGAAATGAAAGCAAAAAATATTTTCTACTTCTCGCGAATTATCAATTTAATCCACATTTCTACTTCAAATCAGTGCATGAAATTTACAACAACAAAAAAAAATCGCTGTGATATTAATATTTCACTCCTAAAATACAAAAAAGGGTTAAAAAGTTTTTTGCACATATCGTATGAACATATCATTGTAAACCCCCACCCCCGATTTTAATTTTGATTTTAATGAGAATTAAAAAGAATAATTAATTTTATCATTTGAGAATGAGGTAGGACACTTATGAGATAGGTCACTTAAATTAAAATTTCTGTTCTAAAACATGATTCTGACTTGGGGGAAAGAGGAAATAAAAGAACTTACCATTTACAGCCATACTGTCGCGAGAAAAGGCGCAAGAACATCGTAAAAAATAGAGAAAAGTTAAGTAAACTGAGATGAAAATCATTCTGAAGATGGTCTGTTTAATTTTTGTGGAACTTTTCACTGATTTCCACAGACTCTTTGACCTACATGGGTCAGATAAGGCGTTTTATTTCTCTCCGAACCGGACCTAGGGGTACAGTGGACTGGAGTTGTTATCAAGTACACTGACCACATTGTTGCGAAGCTAAGCTGGTTGGTACCTTAGAAGTATTTGCTATTGGTCAGTAAGTAATTTTCAACAATACTATTAATACATATCTAATACAAAATAGGTTTATGAAACACTGACACCCCCGAATGGCAGCCTACGGCAAAGGTTAAAGTTTCTCAAATGCAAGTTTATCCCCAAGGTCAAGATCAGTTTAAGAGATTAAAATTGTTGCTTTCCAAAGAGACTTGAAACAATGAAAACTCTGTGAAATATGAAAGCCAAGGAACCTGTCGTTCAAAAGTTATGACCAAGGTTAAAGTTTAAAATTGGGTCAAACTCCAAGGTCAAAGGGTCAAAATCAGTAATGTCCAGGGAAAAGGACTAATATACATGTAAATAAAACACCTTAACACAATTTATTTAGAAGATATTGTCAAGATTAGAGTTTTTATTTAAATAGGTTAAACTTCAAGGTCAAGGTAAAAAAAGTCAAAATTGTTGCTATCCAAAGAAATGTCTTGTCGCAAAGAATACACCTCTGAAATATAAAAGGCCTATAGTGCTAACTGTTTAAAAGTTATGACCTATGTTTAAGTTTTTAGAAGTGGGTCAGACTTTTAGGTCAAGGTCAGAATATTTTCATCAAAAGAAAGTCCTTCTCACAAAATATACACATGTGAAGTATGAAAGCAATAGCACCAACTATATAAAAGTTATGACCATGGTTAAAATTTGAAAAAAAAAAAATTAAAGATGGGTCAAACTCCAAGCTCATGGTTAAATTGTCAAATGTAGTTATACCTTAAAATGGGTCTTGTAGCAAGAAATACACATGAATTTTAAAACCAAGGCTCCAACCAATCAGAAGATAGAGGCAATGTTTAACCTTTTGTGGTCAAACAGAAAAATGAAAGACAGACAAACGGACGAACAGGGCAAAAACTATATACATGTATCACCGAGTCTTCGCTTACGGGGGCATAAAAATATTTAAGTTTTTGTCAGTTCCATTAAGGACACGTGGGCCACAAATAATCACAGGAGACCGTTACGATGGTCAAGACCCTAAAAATATATGAAAAATTTATTTTTATGCCCCCGTTATCAAAGATTCGAGGCCCCCGTTATCAAAGATTCGAGGGTAAATGTATATACATGTAGAATTTGTCATGTACTTTGTCCGTCCGTCTGTCTGTTTATCCGGAAAACTTTAAACTTGTCCATACCTTTTGATTGGGTAAGGCTATGACTTTCATATTTCACAGGTATATTTCAAGTGACAAGACCTTTCTTCGGGTACCACCAAATCTGGGGTAATGATTTGAAAAATTTATAATCTGCACTATCTCAGAAAGCTTCCACATAAGTTTCAGCTTTTCTGGTCCAATGGTATTTGAGAAGAAGAATTTTAGAGATTTTTCTTAATATCTATATCAATGTAAAAAAAACTTGGATTCCATATTGGTTCCCAACTACCCTCGGGCCATAATTATTCGAATAATTTAAATGCACAGATCTAGAGGGGTTGTACACAGGGGTGGTGGGTTCAACCCCCCCCCCCGGAATGTGAAGCGTTATGAAATGCATATACTAACCCCCACCCCCCCCCACCCCCCAATCCTTCGAAAACGCAGATATTTTGTTAAGTTGGTTTGGAAGATCAGAGACACGAAGCTTTAGAACAGAACGACTACGTTATGGAAGAAGTTAATTTTTTTTTCTTTCTCCCCCCCCCTTTTTTTGTCCCCCGCTTTCGAGGGGACATTGAATCTCGTTCGTCTGTCCGTCTGTCACAAAAACTTTAACCTTGGCCATAACTTTTGAATGAGAAGTGCTAATGACTTTTGAATGAGAAGACATGGGGCTTTCATATTAAATATGTGCATTGCTTGTGAAAAGACCTTTTTAAATACACTTTGATTTTTGATCTTGTGACCTTGTCCCTGAAGTTTGACCTAATTTCCCCAAAACATCAATTTTTCCTTATATCTTTTGATTGAGAAGAAATAAGGTTTTTATATTTAACGTGTGCATTTCCTGTGACAAGATACACATGTATTTCTGAGCATCCTATGATTTCTGACCCCTTGACCTTCACGACTGACCTTATTTAAAAAAAAAATAAACTTCGGGGATAACTTTTGAATGACATATGAAAGGGTGTTCATATCTGACACAATATGCCATAAAAAATGACATTTCACCTAGAAATACACTGAAAGCAGGGGACCATAATTCTTTGAATTTGCTTCTTTTTGGTTTTGGTTATTTCGTTGCTTGTTTAGAAATATCCGAATTGGATTTATTTTCTGACTGGGTGGAATCACCACCCCACCCCCCTTGGAAAATAAATTCCGGATCCGCGCCTGTATTTAGAATCTCCACTACCTAAGTGAGCTTCCATATAAGTTTCAGATCTTTTGGCCCAGTTGTTCTTGAGAATAAGATTTTGTCCTTTATATTTAAATGAACAAGCAAATTCAAAGAATTGTGGTCCCCCGCTTTCGGTGTCTTTGTGGGTGAGATGTCAATTTTATGACATATTGTGTCAAATATTAATGCCCTATCATATGTCATTTTAAAATTATCATAGAAGTTGAATTTTTTTTAAATAAGGTCAATCGTGAAGGTCAAGGGGTCAGAAATCATAGCATGGTAGGAAATATCTTGTCACAGGTAATATAAAAGATATGTTTGTGAAACACTGATGATCCCGTACAGCAACATAGCGAAGATTTAACTTTTCTCAAATGCAAATTTAAAATATTAGTACCCAAAGTAGGTTCTTCTCACAAGAAATACGATTGTGAAATATGAAAGCCCCAGCACCACATGTTCAAAAGTAATGGCCAAGTTTTTGAAAGGTAGGACAAACTCCAAGGTCAAAGGGGCAAAGTTGTTGGTTTCTTAAGAAAGGTCTTGTCACGGGTATAAAAGCCCTAGCCCTAACCGTTCAAAAGTTATGGCCAAGGTTAAAGTTTTTAAAAAGTAGGTCAAACTCCAAGGTCAAAGGGTCAAAGTTCTTCATATCAAATGAAAGGTCTTGTCACAAGGATTAAATATTTGAAGTATGAAAGCCCTAGACCTAAACCATCAAAAGTTATGCCGGGTCAAGGCTTGTTTTTCAAAAGTAGGTCAAACTCATAGGTCAAGTCAAAATGTCAATGTTCTTAGTATCCAATGAAAGGTCCTCTCACAAGGATTATGTATGTGAAGTATCAAAGCCCTATCTCTTACCGTTCAAAAGTTATTAAGGTTAAAGTTTTTTTTTCATAAGTACGCAAATCTCCAAGATCAAGGTGTAAAGGTCAAAATTGTTGGTATTCAATGAAAGGTCTTGCCACAAAAAATACATATTATGTGAAATATGAAAGTCCTAGTATCTACCGTTCAAAAGTTATGCCAAAGTGAACTATTGGAATTTTTGTGTCAAAGTGGGCCATCTCCAAGGTCAAAGTCAAAAGATCAAATTTGGTGGTACCCAAAGAAAGGTCTTGTCACAAGGAATACACATGTGAAATATGAAAGTCATAGCTCCAGTTACTCGAAAGTTATGGACAAGGTCATCTTCGCAAGCCAAGGGTTTTTTTGGTCCGCTTCACTCCCTTTGTGGTAAGTGAAGCGGACCGAAAACCCTTGGCTTGTGAAGATGGGGCGAGGTTAAAGTTTTTGTGAGGGACGGACAGAAGAATGAGATTTAATGTCCCCTTCCTTTCGCGAAAGCGGGGGACAAAACTCTGGTTTACTTTTGTAGCATTTATTTAGAATTTACATACACATGATACACAATCTAATATTAAAATCAAACTCCTTAGATCCGCGCCGTATTCACTCTGCGTAAGAAGATTTTTTTCAATGACCCGACCCTATTTTTGTTCTTTCATAGCTCATCTCCCGTTTTAATGGAGCTCTTTTGTTTTTTTTTAATTAAGTCAATGGTGAAGGTCACGGTCAAGGGGTCAGAAATCATAGCGTGTTCGGAAATATCTTGTCACATGTGGTGCAATATGAAAGCTATATATCTCTTCTCAAGGAAGGAAAAATTGACATATTTGAAAAATATATGTTGCTCAAACTTCAAGGTCAAGATCTCAAGATGAAAAGTCATAGTGTACTTAAAAAGGTCCTGTCATATGCGATATATATATTCATCGTTAACATGAAAGCCCTACTTGTATCTCTTCTCATTTATAAGTTATGTACTTTATATGTAAAGTAAAATTTAATTATTTTTAAAGTAGGTCAAAGTTCAAGGTCAAGGTCACGCGGTCAAAAATCATACTGTATTTAGAAAGGTCTTATCGACATATAATAAACATGTGTAATATGAAAGTCCTATCTCTTCTCATTCAAAAAATATAAGAAGGATTCAAGTTTTTGTGACGGACGGACAGCTATACATACAGACCGGCAGACTTATAGATGAATGAGATTTAATGTCTCCTCGTTCTCGCGAAAGCGGGGAACAATAATATCAGGTGACGGATACATAATTTAGGTCTACGATACTAAAAGTTCGCGTAATTTTCATTAAGTTCAGGAGTCTAAAATAAAAGTTAAGCCCCAATCAGGAAGTGGTCCACCTTTAGTGGGCTTTACGTCGGGTGGACCGTGGGCCTGCCCAGACTGGCCAGTCATTTGGACTTCGGTTTATAATCCATTGTAAAATGACTAGATATAAATAAATCGAAATGTGTTTTCCACCATTAGCAGGCTACCTAAATTCGCTGTTCGGATTTTCCCGGTTTTCTATGGTTATTTTTGGAATTGAAACCGGAAGTGTTTACCATGACGTCACCATTAGCATAATGGAATCAATTGTCAGCCATTTTCTACGATAGAAGGCCACAACAAAAGTCGACTGAAGACAACAAAGTGATACTTTCTCGTTTTTACGAGATTTCAAACAATGAAGGCAATATGGGTTATAGGGGCGACCCTTGTTTTAATGGATTTTATTTCTGGAATGTCAGGTAAGTGATTATCAAGGTGGAGACTTAGACAGGTGCGAGAACCCCCTGCACTGGCTTGTACTGACAGTAGCTCACTGTATTTACATGTGCATGTTAGACTCGTGTATGGCAACAAATATCAATTTGTTCTCTTAGATGAAATTTTATAACAAAAGAGGATATAAAATCGTTGATATTATGTACAACAGAGAAATTAATAATAAAATTTATTCTATTTTAATTTGGAAAACTTCCACATTCAAAAAGGGACCTGTGATCATCATCAAGGAATAAGGACCCAGAATGATCATGAATAGTTTTTTTTCCTGAATGAAATGCCCTTTTATTGACACTCCATCACATTAAGATCTTTTCCAAAAGTTGTTTTGATCTTTAAATTAATTATCGACCTAGTCCAAAAATTGACAATTTTGAGAAACTTAGTCTGTCCTTATTTGTTAAGTTATTGAGTTTTATTTCATTTGAAATAAAAAGAAACAAAAACAAAGTTAACTACACCAACACAAGTAAAGGACCCTGCCAACTTTCTTTTTAGATAGAAATATTGATAGATTCATCACATACAAGAATAATTAGGTTAATTATTATTTAACATTTTAAAATGATTGATATTTCAAGGAGCATAGATTAATTTGGTTTAACTTTTAATATAATTAGAACTGTTCATTTATGTATATACACTTTATTAAACAGTATTATAAAATAATATTGTTTTTGTAAAATATTTGTCTTGCAATTTTCATAAAGCATGTCATGATTCAATGCTTTTAATGTTTATTAACAGAATGATTAATTTTGCATATCAAAGATTTTATTTATCAAAAATTAAATTAGCATTACCTTGATTTTTACAAAAAAAATAATAAATTGTGAGTTACTGATTTTGGGGCTTTGAAATAAACTGCTGAAATCAAAAATAAAAATAACTTCTAAAATAAAGAGCACATACACATTTTATTTAAAATATATGTTTATTATGTTCAATTAATGTCTGTAAAACAACAAAAAGCAAATTGTGGTAAAATTTATTGAGTATAAAACTTTAATAATTGTAATTTTGGGCCATTAAAATATATACTATTAATATACTGGTTATATATAATATTTTAAAATATTTGGTATTTCAAGGAGCATAGATTAATTTGGTCTAACTTTGATGTTTCAAACTTCAGAATTTTGATTTTATTTTATTGCTGTGGTAAATTGATAGTTTTATACAAAGACTAGCTGTCTTGTAATTTCCATAAGCATGTCAATAACAGGCAAAACTTGTAATATCAATGCATATGATCAAAGAAGTAAAATTAAAAGAAACCTTGATTTTTACAAAAAAATTGTTGTGAATTACTGATTTAGGGGATTTCTTTTCAAAAAAGTGCATATTTAATTTTGAAATTCATGATACACTACAAAGGCCAGAATAACTGTGTTAACTTCTATTGAGAATAACTTTAATAATTGTAATTTTGGGCCATTAAAAATATTAAAACTGAGATATTAAATAATCCAATGTTTACATGTATTACAATCTTGTTAATAAAGACTTCATGAGCTGGAATGACCATATATAAATCTATCCTCAGTAAGCATGGTAAGCGTTGCTGGATCAGTGACCATGATCCAAAAAACTACTTTATATTAATAATAAAATTTTTCTTTAAATCTCTTCTTTTCATATCTAGTGCATTTTAATGAAATTAATAATCACTATGCCCAGAATACCTGTGGAGTTCATAATTAACTTATTTTCAATATCATAGACTGAAATAAGTTTTCTTTTTTTTTATAGTACAGAATTTGCGATTTCCTTTTTCTTCTATAGAATGTGTAGTTTGTGGGGTGGTACTTCTTGAATGTTAATCATTAACCTTTTGACCCTGTGATTGGTCTGGTTAGTATTCAGGTAAATCAAACCTGACAGTTGATGATGTACACAACCAGCTGCAGCCTTATCAGACATCAAAGGGAAGAGGATTCTTATTATTATCCCCCATTGTGTGGCAATCAGAGGTGCTGGTTCTTATAGATTCCATGTGTTTTATGATCATTGGCTTAATATCTTGGGAATTTATAGTGTTCAGGTGCTCTATGTGCCTTGGCTACTCTGTAAAGATTCTTTTTGTGTAGATCTGAGAAATTCTTTCCCTTCTCTTTTGAGACATTGGAAATCAATATTCCATATATTAATTATTAAATTAACCATACTGTCATAGTTAGATATCAAAATATTAGATGCATTCTTTGAGGTTGATTTAATGTAAATGACAAAGGAAGTCGTATTCTTTGATTTATAGATGGATTTGTCGATATGAGACTCTTTGTATGTCTCCTGGCTTTAGCCTTTAGAGAACACAATATTTATTCCCTGCACATATTCTGCTGGTTTTTGTTTTTTAAAAATTATTTTGTCTTGGATTTAAAAGACAAAAACTTGTATGCTAACGTTTATTATTTGCCTGTCAGATGGCAGGATTAAACAGAAATGCACACCTGCTGTAAATAAGATTAACGTCTTTGTTTATATAATATCTTATTGTTATTTTCACGGAAAATTTCATAATTAAAAAATGTGATAAATCAGACATGAAGAGAATTTTCTGCTACACCTTTATTCTGAGTCAGATATTGAAAATTAGTGTAGGTGTTGTTAATTTTCTTGTTATTTAACTGGTTTGCAGTTTTAGTCCACATAAAAGGCTCTGGGCCTTGGGGAAGGGACAGACAAGGCTTATGAATGAAAATGGCTCCCTGTCATACAGGTGTTTGACAGAGTTGCATTTTGTACAAGTTTGTAATAGGCCAATGCCCGAGAGACTTTTCATTCTATGATGAATACACAGATATGGTTACTTGCTCATTTAACACTTGTTTAAAACAGGAGTGACTGAATTGTCTTGTCATGTTTCATGGAAGTTAACACAGTGATTAATTAGTAGAATATATTGTGTTTGTCATTTTCTCAGGTATCATTGTAGATAAACCATCATGGAAACATCAGTGATATTAATAAAGATGAAAATGGCTAATGCTATACCTTCATTACCTTGAGAAAGTTTAGTTCACTTACAATAGTCTTTGATATTCAGAAAGTTCATTTTTTATATTCCAGTGGCTAAAAAATGAGTATATTTTAACAAATGTTGATAAGTTTTATGTGATTAGCACTTAATATTAAGAGACATATGTCAGTCTAACTGCATTCAGCAAGAACATTAAACATGATTACAATCCCAAAAACCTGTCTTCATTTGGAATTTATTTCCGAATTAAATCTTGATTTTTTTTATTTGTCAGGGACAGAATAAATGTTGTCAAGGAGATTTCTTGTCAAATTTATCATTTCTTTTCTGTAGCCTCACTTTAAAAAATCAAGAGATAAAATTTAAATAATCCTAAAGCTTTTTTAAAAAATGGCATAGCCGCTGCATGATTCAAGAGTATTGAATTCTCTTTAATGCTGTAATGTCTTTTTCATATGCCTTAAAGCTTCCTAATGTCCTGTAATTTTTTTTGAGTCACAATTTATATGAAAAGCTGAGGATATTTGATGTATAACTTTTTTATTTAAAAACTGAAATTTCAGCTTTGCGTGTTCTTTGGATTGGAATTGAATTTCTTGATAATCAGCTTATTAGATAACTTCAAACATAGGGGTCTAACTAACTGTAATTAGATCTAGTGAAGGTTACTATAATATAGATAATATATTTTAGTTGATGCTAGAAATTTGAATGGGAGGGAATTGTTTGATAAATTTTGATCTATAATTAACCTGTGTTCTTTTCCTTTACTGACAAGAAAAACAAATTATAATCAGGAAATCTTTAATATTTTATTTTTTATTCATTCAGATTGATCCAAAAATATCTTTTTTTGTCTTAAATTTTCAGATTAGGAAATTTTCTATGTATTCATAAAGTTCAATATTTTTTTCCTTTCAGAGACCAATGCACATGATCCAGTAATAAACTCAAAGTTCAAAAATGGTAGGGGATTTCCCGTTTTTCATGGGAACATTACAGAAGGAAGTCGGGTAGTTCAGCTTGATCAGCCACTCAAAGCCACAGATGAGGACACTGTGGGCGGGGCAAGTAAGTGACAGACACCTCGACCTTTTCCTTTACAGATTATTAGTAGATGTATTAGATGTTCAAAATTAGAAAAATACCCTTGGCTCCGTACATGTTTTCAATGAATGTTAAAAATAAAAAAAAAAGTTCTCTAGTGTAAAACACTCTGTTTGTTGTTGTTTTTGTTTGAATTTCAATGGTATTTCAACCATGTTTATTGCCTGTGAACATTCACTTATTGCAGCATGATTTAACTTCAGACAAATACTTGTACTCTCATCAGTAAATGTCACTGGGGCTTTTATGCAGTGTAAACTAATGATCCCAATTTTGTGAGCAAAACTGAATTTGTTTCTACATGAATGTACCAGGAGAATAGTCCAATAAAGCAGTATTGATTTAACGTTTTACGAAACAAAAATTGTACTTATCATGTAGACCTACCAGATTTTGGCAGCTTTATCATAATGCTAGGTCAATTTAGATATATATCTGATATTGTCTAACTTGATTTTCTGAATCAATTTTGGCAGAAGAACTGAAATATGTACATATATAATGATAATATTATTTATAAAATCTTGTGTTTATAAACCTTTATACCTATGTTTTATGAAAAAGCCATGATATCGGATTGAAAGAACTACATATTTGAAAGCTAAAGTTATTCATTGTAGAAACAAAAATTTCTAATAGCAACAGTGTATTGATTAAATTCCATATAATTGCTTATAATTTATTCTCTTGAATAATGCTGCTTAAAATTCTTTGAAGTGGTCTAGAACTTAGAGAACATTGCCTATTGGACACTAGACAATGAGACTGTCTGGTTAATATGTAATTTGTACTCACAACCTGAATGATAAGATAAATGAGATATACTAAGAGTTGAATTAGTTCAGTGCAATTATAAGCATGTCAGATTGATGTTACGACCTTAAATTAAGATTCTCAGAATTCCTCTAAATCAAAATCTGTGTCGCTGCATTTAAATTAGGTTACGTATTATTTCTATTTAATGAGTATTGGCAGCTCATAGCATAATTTTGTCAGAAGTCAGGAAACTTATGAGATTTCTATTTATTAATTAACTACCTGCACCACTCAGTGCTCAAATACTACCTGTACATAGTTAATTAAAAGGTTTCCATTTATGAATTTTTGAGATTTAAAAGACATAACTTTAAAAAGCTGTATAATTATTTTTCACAATATTCCATATTATTAAATGATTTCATGTGATAGTTAATACATCTAACTGTTTTCCACTTTCAGGGTTTATATGTGGATATAGACTTATCTCCCCTCGTAAGAACATTCCCTTTACTGTGGAACTATTGGACAGAACCACAGGAGAAGCCCAATTGAAAGTAGCTGATGGCCGAAAGGTCTCATTTGAAAAGCGGAAACGGTACAAGTTCTCCGTGATAGCTTATGATTGTGGGCAACCAGCACGTGAATCAAACAGGTAATTTAAAACGTTGAAAAAAAAAGAGAAAGCTTGACAATGTACATTAGACCACTCCAAGATAAATTTCTTATTCTGTGCAGGGAACCATCTGGTGCCTGACAAACTTAATAAAATTTCAGGTAGCAAGCAGTTAATGTGAATTATGTGTATAAGCATGCATGCAAAAAAAAAATGAACAAAATTTAAAAAAAATTTGCAGTTTATGTAAAATATGCATTAAGTTAGCAAGAAAAGCTGAGGTACAAGTAGTGCATTAACCTAAATTTTCAACATATTCAGTATTTGCACATGAATGCACATTAATTTATATCTGCATGGTAGGAGACCACATCTCAGATGTTTTGAAAACAATTTGTTTGGTAGATAAATATTTAATCAGGGTCAATTTCCATTGGAGACATTGAATGACCAACTAGGCAGTGGTACTGTATAGATCCCATTGATTGAGTTTTGCTGGGCTCCCTATGTGTAATTAAGTGAACAATTGTACAATTCTGCCCTTTTCAAGTCAGATTTCCTCTCATTGATCAAATTAACTTGATTCATTTTGTCTGTTTTTAGAATGAATATGCATAATGTAAATAACCCTTTTCAAACATGACTATCAGCCATCCAGCCTTTTGAATTTGAAGAATCTATGTATTAACAAAAAAAAGTTTGACAGAAGACCTTTTAATTAAAAAAATTGTTTAGGTAAATTGCATTATCTGCGGAGACATTTTTGCATGGGAACAAAACTTATACTAATTCAGTAATTGACAGACATGTATGCCTTCAACAATTTAGAGTTAGACGTCCGCAAAATGCTTTGTATAAAGACATAGAAAAGAAATACAGTTTTATTCAAGTAGTGGTAGCGTGGAGTTTTTCTGCTTAAAATCATTTAATACTCCAAGGGAGCAATTGATTTTTAACCTTTTAGAGATTATTTTAATAATTATAATCTTAAGTAATAGCTAACCACTCAGAATGAAGGTACCAATGGGGGAGAAAAGGGGGCCTAAATTTCCTGCAGCTTCATTTAATTTCAGACTCGATTAAATCTTGTTATTAATATTTTGGAGCTTGGTGAATACCACTGAGTTGCCTTGATGGGGACTAGGTACAAGAGATACTTGTTGGGTAAATTTCCTCTGTTGAAAAATAATATAATATACACATATCATTTGATTGATGGAAATGCTGAGTTATGTTCAAATGAGCAGAGAAACTATTAACGATCTATTTGACTAAGATGAATTTTTAATAGCTTTTTAGTCAGGAAATCACATTCTGAATGTAAGAAAAATTGATTTTTTACAACTAATAGAAATTTTAATTGCCCTATTGAACATGTTGAAAATAGCTTTCTCTACAGCAGCCATTTTTTGTGGTTCAGAATATGACTAAAAACTGGATAATACATGTAGACTGGTGTTTGTAATACCATGAACTGATAAAGTTTATTTCCTTGGTAAATAACATCTGAAGCAGAATTTGATGAAATTGAGGATGTATTCATGTCAAAATACACATTTAACAAAGAGTAACATTATTACCCAGTTATCATGGTTATTGGAAGAAACGTTTAACAACCTAAGTAGTACAGTTAGTTTTCTCACAAATTATAATTTGTTGCATATTCTTGGTGTGAAATAAGTGTCTGCTATTGGTCTTCTATTGATTTTTCTGACAGGAAGATAGAAGCCCAGTAAAATTTGTTGGAGATAGACCCCCAGTCAATAGAGTCAGTTACACTTTAGACAGGAGAAAATGAGAAGGGGACGATAGACAGACAGTATTATAGGGTGATGAGAGATTAAATTAGGTGAAAATGAGTTAGAAGCGTCAAGTTCCTCGTCAACAGATAAATAGCCAGGAATGTCCAGAATTCGTTTGATGTGTTAATAGAATATCTAGGCAAAAAAAAAAAAAAAGAAATTTTTTTGTGGTAACTATCAATTGAAGTTATAGAAAATTTGTATATTGTTGAAATTTTAATACCTGGAAAAAAAAATCAAATAAATTTAAAACAGAAAAGAATGCCATAGACTTAAGTTATTGTTTTTACAAACAGTTCCTTATTAAACGATATGGCATAACTGGTCAAATCATCTGCAAATATCTCTCATTTTCCTCAAACTCAGTGTAGGAGTAACAAGTTGATTATTATTTCCCCCTCCCCCCTCTCCAGATCAGAATAATAAAATACTTTATATCTAAATACACAGTACCAGTTACGTATATGATATACCCGTTACTTTTTTTTTTGATAATTAATTATATTGGTAGTTCATATCAATGATAATGTCTTTATTTGAAATAATTTTATGATAAAATGACCTTTGTTTCCAGAGCTGTAATTTTCGTTCGGGTGGAGGATGTGGACCGTTTTGCCCCCACTTTTGATAAGCCTGACTATGTGGTGGATCTGGAGGAGGACAGGTTATATGACCCCTTGTTCACGCTACACGCCCACGACAAAGACAGGACAAAAGAGTTCAAACAGATCTGTGAATATGAACTGGAAACCCCGAATGTTCCATTCTCTGTAGATAGGAATGGTGAGTTGTCATAAAGCATATGTCTAGTATGCATTTTTACAGAGATCAACAATTATAGTTTTCCAGTCGTGTCTAATCATGCAGGGCAAGTAAAATCTCTGTATGTGATGTGGATAATTATGTGTTTAAGCCAGAAAAAATCTGGGCAAACTGATATAAAATTTTGTATTTTTTTACTGAATACTTGTATTCTTTGTCTGTGCTTCGGTTGCTTAATCATTTCATAGGAATAAAAATATTTAAAAATATGATCATGAATATTTCATAAAAATGTTTTTAAAAATTTTGATTGAAGAAGGGTAATGAAGAAATGATACTCTATGTGGCATCTTATTGCATTTGATGATTATAGATCCCAAAAGTTGACAATATACCGGTATTGCATAAGATCTTTGTTTTCATTATAAAAAGAAACAAACTATTTTAGTTTACAACTATATTTCATCTTTGTTTCAGGAAACATTCGTAACACACAGAAAGTCTACTACCAAGATAGACATAACTTTATTTTGAAAATCATCGCCAGAGACTGTGGAGGAAGGCAGTCTAAGGCGGTATTTATCAACGTCATAGTCCGGGAAAAATGCAAGCCACAATGGACAAGTAAGGGGATATCACAGATAACTTTGTATCATAGGAAGCTTTTCTATAAATCTGTTGCAATGCAAACATGCTGTGTTTGTTCAGACAGGATTCACCAGCTGTTAATATGTTGATTAAGTTCTGACAAGATAATCTGTTGAGTAGTTTTTTTTACAGATAAGGAATTTCCCTGTAGATTATTTTGATAACTTTAGCACTTTTTCAGGTATTTTGTAAAAACATGAAGTTAAAATAAGATATTGACTAGAAGGTCAAGACATTGGCATTAAATCAAAATTTTAATTCTATTGTAGAACTTTGGAATTGAAAAAATACCATTATTTAAATCTTTTTATTATTCTTTGTTGAATATTTTATCAATTTTCAGTCATCTCCAGATAAGTTCTAAACATGATTTCATTATTGTTATGATTTAGATAGAAGAATCATTTTAAAATAAGCATCATTTGATCTATATGATCCTCATTCTTAATCTAATATTTCTCTCACTAGATTTCCCAGACCACCTCCAGTACCTGGCTGGCAGTGGAAAACAGAGGGTGGCCCCCAAAGCCATCCTGAGATGGTGTGATGACACCTGCACCCCAGACCAGGTGACCCTCCAAATGAAGCTGGCAACCAGTCACATCGGCAAGGGCTGCGACCGCGACACATACTCCATCTCCTCACAGAGAAAATTGTGTGGTAAGTTAGACGAACAAAATCAATACGCTAAATGAATGGCTTCTTGACCGCCCGGACATTGATCATCTGTTGTCATTTGTTAATAAAGAAGTCGAGGATGGAACCGGAAAGGTGAACACACATTGATGTCCACAATGTAATTAATGGAGAAAAGATATTTTTTTCTTGGAAATTCTTTAATAATATATAAGGTTCCCTGTTTTCATTACTCCGTCTTATGTTTAAAACTGGCATACTTAGATATTTGAATGTGATGTTGCTAGAAGATATGCTTGATTTCTTTGAAACTTACACTGAATTAATTTTTTAGGTGCTAATGATCACGGTATAGACTTGCTGCCATCCCCTAGCCTGACGTCTTCCTGGACACGCTTCCTGCCCACTGATGACGGGAAGGAGAGTGACCAGGTGTTTTACTTTGATGGTGAAAACAATGCCGTGGAGGTGCCAGAAAATGTCTTCAACCACACCCTGCATAAGCACTTCTCCATTATGATGTGGATGAAGCATGAACATTCTGAAATCAAGGATAAAAAGTACCCCAAGGAGCACATCCTCTGCATGTCTGACGGGGATAGTAAGTTTTAAACTTTTTCATAAACAGAAATCAGTATTCAGAAAACATTTAGAATTCATAAAAAAATATTGAATGTCAAACATTTTGGGAAGCAGTTTAAACTTAAGAAATGCTTGTTTGTTTTAGATATGAATCGTCACCACTACTCCTTGTTTGTACATGGAGATAAACTGGTTCTCCTAGTCCGTAGAGAGGCATCTGATGCCTCCGACATGGAGGTCTTTAGACCCGCAGAATGGCGGTGGAAAATTTCAGAGATCAACCAAAGAGATGAGTGGCACCACTATGCCATCAGCATGAATTTCCCTCATGTAAGTACAGTGTTTTAAATACTACATGAATGAAAGGCTATTATGATCTCAAAATTTGTCTAAATGTTGTCCTGTATATGAGGTTTATGTTGTCATGAAGTACCAGGGTATTTTGGGATCTTTTTGATTAAATATTTCATAAAATTTAAATTTTTATTATACAATTCGGTTATTTTTTTGTCCGAGTTCTTCTAATTTTGACATATATTTTTCCTGCCTCTAGGTTCAGTTGTTTGTTGATGGGAACCTGGTAATACCCAGTGATGACAATTCAGAAGTGGTTGATGATTGGCCACTTCACAAGTCAAACAAAGTTCATGACACCAAACTCATTGTTGGAGCATGCTGGGAAGGTATATTCTAATACAAGGTTTCTGACTTTTTGAACAGCTTCTATATTAAGAAGATGTTGCCCTTGGAGAGCATATACAGTAGGACAAGTGTAACCTCCACTTTTTTCAGTTGTTTTGGGTTCATTTTATTCAGAGTTTAAAAAATGTAGCAATACACAATGTAGCAGGACTCTAAAACATTGACCAGTAAAATACATTGTATTTTCAGGTGGTCATCATAAATTTAACCACTATTTCCGTGGTTATTTGGCTGGTTTGTCAATCTTAAAGGGCAAGACAGAAAGTGAGAGGGTCATTCGATGTCTGAACAACTGCCAGGAAAACTTGGACTTTAGTGCTCTCAGTGCCATGCACAGTGGAACAGTAAGAATCTGTATTATGTTATCTTGTCTGTGGGTTTTGTGAGAGAATTTCTGATCTTTCGTTTATTGTACCCTTAGAGTTGTAACCTTAATGCTCATTTTTGCAAGCATAATCAAAATCAGTTAGAGAAGTAGTATGTACATGTGTATAGAAAAGATCACAGCATATATTATTTTCCTGTTTTTGCAGACTGTGAGCTTTAATAGGGAGATGACAGACTTTAGAATTCAGAGTAAGAATATATCTGAAGTACAGGCTTTATTGAGAGAAGTCCACTACATCAACAGCAGGAAATTCCCCACTCCAGGCAGGCGAAACCTCACAGTGTCCACAGCTATTCAGTAAGTTCTTGATGAACTATTTCATATAGGGTGCCTAAATAAAGATGCATTTTCATAAATTATGACAACAGTATTGGCACTTGTTATACCCCCCGCAAACGAAGTTTGGGGGGGTATATAGGAATCACCTTGTCCGTCTGTCTGTCTAGCTGTCCGTCTGTCTGTGCAATCGTGTCCGGTCCATATCTTTCTTACAGAGGGACATTAGAATCTACTACTCCACACAAAGATTGCCCATGACCTAAGGGTGTGTCATGACCTTGACCCAAGGTCATTTGGGGAAGTTCAAGGTCACTGGAAGAAAAATTTCATAATTCGTGTCCGGTCCATATCTTTCTTATGAATAAACTTGGTAGGTTCTCATTTCACACAAAGATTGCCCATGACCCAAGGGTGTGTCATCACCTTGACCCAAGGTCATTTTGGGAAGTTCAAGGTCATTGGAAGTAAAATTCATAATTTGTGTCCGGTCCATATCTTTCTTATGGACAAACTTGGTAAGTTTCATTTCACACAAAGATTACCCATGACCCAAGGGTGTGTCATGACCTTTACCCAAGGTCATTTGGGGAAGTTCAAGGTCACTGGAAGAAAAAATTCATAATTCGTGTCCAGTCCATATCTTTCCTATGGATAAACTTGGTAGGTTGTCATTTCACACAAAGATTGCCCATGACCCAAGGGTGTGTCATGACCTTGACCCAAGGTCATTTGTGGAAGTTCAAGGTCACTGGAAAAAAAATATCATAATTCGTGTCTGGTCCATTTCTTTCTTATGGAAAAACTTACTTCTGAAAAACCCAGCGGGGGGTATTTTGTCCCGTTTGGACAGTTCTAGTTTTTAATTCTGAATGGTCACAATTACATTGGACATAGGTAAAGATAGACTAATTGTGTAGGTGGCATTTTTTGTACTTTCAAATTATTCATTTTACAAACTAGATATCAAGCATTGGTTTGATATTTGATGAGGATGTGTTTATTATAAACAAAACTGTACTAATTATTTTCAGTTGTGGGTCAGTGGAAACCTTCCTCCCTAAAGTAGACAGCTATATCCTGGTCAGACCAGCAGCCACCCCCTCCATCACCCTGCGAGGTCACCCCTCCCTCAGTGCCAACGAGGACAGACTCAAGGCCGGGCTGAGGATATTTGAGGACATCAATATATCTGTAGATTTTGCTGTGGAGAGAACTGGAGGAAAAGTGAACCACATTCTGGGAAAAGATGAAGTTAGAGATGGTAATTCTGACATAGAACTGGGCAAGGAGGAGAAATTACAGCTCAAATTGGAGAGGAAGAAGGCAAAACGTAAGTATAAACTTATTACAGTAAAACTCGGTTATAATGAAGTCACTGGGACCTATGGAATTACTTAGCTATATCCGTAATTCATTATATCCATATACTAAATTCGTTAAATTAATATAATTGGGGATCCAAGATAACTTCACTATGTCTTTGAATTTGCAATATCTGTGTTAGTACTAAACGAGTTTTAGTGTACCTTGAAGCCTTTACAGATATAAAAGATTAAAAAAATAAATTATATTTCATTATATTATGATGGTATAAAGAGTGTTGTTAAATTATGCATGTACATTGTTTTACAAAAAGGCACAAAGACAAGTCCTAATGTGCTCATTTTTTAAATACATAAAGTAATGGTAGTTATGTTTTCATGCAATTCAATGAAATGATTATTATTTTGTCAACAGAAGACACCACTAGCAAGGTTTCAGATGCCCAGTTGATCCTGCTAGATATGTGCACTGTTAAGGCAGATCCCCCTCTAGATCTTTACCATGAAAGGCTTGAACTGCCCACATCCATTATGAATGAGTTCAACATGAAAATTGAGGGCACACAAACTAGTGAGGGCCTGGTCATTTCGAGTAAGTGGATTTTTTCCTTCACCTTTTACGCATACACTTTAGACAGTTCAGCTTTTCCTATGATACATGTGTCTGTTTTGATACTGAAATTAGATCCAATCTTGCAGCAAATTGGTTATACTTCAAAGCATTCATTATGAGGTTGACATTATTTTAGATGCAGATAACATCGAGGATTATATCTTGGTGCTGAGAGGAATTCTTTACGTCCATGAAAAAGATAAACCCTTTACAGGACGTAGCTTCCATTTGTCATGTTCTTCACAGAATGGTCGCTTTATCAGCAATACCATGGACATCAAGGTATTATTTCACTATATATAAGCAAGACTTACATGCACATTATACATAGAGAAACAAAAACTGGTCGGTTACAAATTGTTATTTGAATATGGTAATGACATCTTGATAATGACAATCCAAGATGTCTGCATAGCTTTCTACTCATGGATTGGACAGAAATTATTGCACAGAATTAGACCTCATGGAATAAAATAACATTTACAGTACATGTAGTACAAGCCATTATTCTTTTATTCTAGATAATGAAGGTTCAAGAAGAAAACAATGTGATCCTGCCGTTGAGAGCCCAGCAGGCTGTTCAGCACATCCAGCTTCCTTCTGTTAGTGGTACAGGCAATATGGCTGTCGGGGCAGCCTCTCCCAGTAAGTATGCCATAGGATCATACGTCTGTTCAACAGAGTGAACGTTCGCGAGCACTCACTAAAATTCCCTATACCTCCAACAGAAATGTCCAGGAGTGCTTGCTTTGTTGAACAGGCCTCAGGTGAAAGCAAAATTGTGTTGTTGAATATACTTATATAACCATACATGTATATAATCTTGCAAAAAGCAAGTTAAAGTTACATGTTCTTTTTTTATCTTTTACTGTGTGTAAAACTAGCTTTGTCTTTTCCTTGATCAGATGTGGGTATGGTGGCCATTATTGTGGTTTGTGTGGGCTTCCTCCTATTTATGATTATTCTTGGGGTCATCAGAATCCGGGCGGCCCACAGAAGGACCCAGGTGGTGCAGGTGGAGCCAGAGATGGAGTGGGACAACGAAATGAACCTCATTGTCAATCCCATGGATGAGGAGACACACCCACTCCATGTAAGTTTTCACATCATACCTTTATAAAGCCTTATAACGAATGAATGACGCTAGATAAAGATGTCATTAATGACTGTGCAGAATTTATGTTTAGACTTATCTCTTCATTTGATTCAGTTTTGTGGTGTTCATTTTAGAGCATATATATTTGAAATAATTTTCCTCTAAAACTGAAATATCAGACAGTTGTTGCCATGAAAAATTTTGTAGAATTACCGGTAACTGTAAAAAGGAAATGGGACTTTGGATAGGGCAATGTTAAACATAACTTTCTCCCTGTGTTGTAGGTGTTTGATTATGATGAGGGTGTGGGGAAGTCTATGAGGGACGACAGTGACTCTGAGGATGACTGCAGTAGTTATCATGAGGATGAGGAGGATTCCTCAGACGAGGAAACCGTCCCCAAAAAAGAGTTAGAATGGGACAATGAACTGTGAGGAAAAATAGAAATCAAACACTTCAGTGCAAAGAATTTCGAATAAATTTTTTGATTTCAACTTTTTAAAAACTTACATTTGGTGTAAATCCCACCGAGTTAAGATTTGTGATTTTTTTTTCTATTACTTACTTGAAAAATTAGTAAGAAGGAGTATGTCAAAGTGAGAAATGTTTAATATTTGAAGTTTTATTATACATACATTTCTTTTTCAAAAATCACAGCACAATTGTGCACAACTTATTCATACAAGCAAGTACAATTGTTGATTGAGCTGTTATTGTTAAGACTTGTACCTAAGAATATCATATCAATGACATTCACGTTCTGTAGGGTTGCCATGGTGATCATGATGCTTTAATGTCCACATTCTGTCATTATGTTGTGTTTGTTTTATTATGTATGGTGCTGTTACTCGAAGAGTATTTTTTTTTCAAGGGTTTAATTTTAAAACTGCAGGTGAAGTTTTGTGGATGACATTTACTTCTGACAGTCAAAGGTACACATACGTACTACATAATTATTATATTTACTTCCTCTTTTTTTTTGCATTCAGTTTATTCCCCAAGAATTCTTATCAAGTTTTACCTTTCCATTTTTTAAAAGAAATCTATCTTTATCATTCACGTGTTGTGAATCTGATATTTGTATATATAGAATTAATAAATGTAATGTAAACGTTGATGTGAATATTTTAGCAAAGGTTGTATAATCTTTATTATAATTATTTTTTTAAATTTTGATTTATTTTAAAAGCACTTTTTATAACATTCCATTTATTTAGTCAGTTAAAATGATGTACATGTTTACACTTTTCATCTGTTTGTTTTCTAAAATCATGGGCTCAGTATTTACTTTTTAGAGGAATTATGATATTTCAGGGCTTACATTATGTGTTGTGATTATCAATGTATGTGATTTTTGTGTCTGTAGCTAAGCAATCTCAACATATTTCTCATATCAATACAGACTTATTCTCAAAAACACACCTAATCCCCTAATGTGTAACACTGTTGAGACATCCTTATAGGAAAGTTTTTTTAAATTGCATATATATACATGTACATGTATGTACAACCAACACTGAGATTGTTGAATGATACATGTTTATGTTTAATGATATTCTATACCAGTGTCCAGTAAATGAAAAGTTTTTTTTTTTTTTGTTTTTTTTACGTAATTCTTGGATGTAATCGTGAAATCAGAATATTTAAATATTTTAAAAGAATTTTGTCCATTCCATAATTTTTACTGTTTTTAATCATTTCATTCCACACAGACATTCATTGACAATTAATTTTATCAGATGTATATACAGTAGTAAGAGATATCTTCATTCCATGAACAGACTACATGTAGTTAATTTAAAAGTTTTCAGCAATAAAATATGTAATTTTTTGCATAATACAGTATTTTAAATTGCACTTTAGATGTAAGTTTATGATTATGGGCATTTTAGACTTATTATATCTGCTTTTCAAATTTCTTTTAATGGCATGAACTTTGCTGCCACCATGTTCCTTTGATTTATACTGTATGTACTATTATACATAGGTTTATCATCATTTGCTATTTGAGCCTTTTTTAAACTGCATAAATCCAAAGGAAAACTAGACACAAACTTGTCTTTATTGAGGAATTTCTTTTAAGCGTAAATGTTGGAAAATTTTGACAATTTGGCCACACAGTGAATATGGCATGTAGTGTTAATCATTTTTGTAAATAAAAAGCTATCATATAAAATTTATCAGTTATATTTTAACAAAGAGAGAAAAAAAAACCTCTTTAAGATGGAGGTTCATAGAAAGATTGAAATGGACCTTTTTAAAGTGTAAAATAAAATGTGATTGTGAAACACTGGTGCCTCTATATAGCAGCTTATGGCAAAGGTAAATGATTATAAAATGCATGGCAAACTCCAAGGTCAAATTAAGATGAAACGTTGTAACCCAAAGAGAGGACTTCTGTCAATGAATGTACTTGTGAAATACAAAAGTCCAAGCTCCACCTATTCAAAAGTTTCACCCAAGTTGAAAGTTTTTAAAAAGTGGGTCAAACTGCTAGGTCAAGGTCAACATTAATGGTATCAAGGGAAACTCCTTGTCAAAAGAAATTCATTCGTGAAACAAACCAACTGTACAAAAATTATGGCAAAGGTTAAAGTTTGTCAGAAGCAGGTTAAACATTAAAGGTCAATATTGTTGGTATCCAAAGGAAGGCCTTGCAACTGTGAATTATATAAGCCCTAATACTAAAAGTTCAATAGAAAAGGCCATGGTAAACATTTTTAGCTCACCTGAGCCGAAGGCTCAAGTGAGCTTTTCTGATCACATTTTGTCTGTAGTCCGTCTGTCTAGCTGTCCGTCCGTCTGTCTGTCTGTAAACTTTTCACATTTTCGACTTCTTCTCAAGAACCGCTGGGCCAATTTCAACCAAACTTGCCACAAAGCATCCCTGGGTGAAGGGGATTCAAGATTGTTCAAATGAAGGGCCACGTCCTCATTCAAGGGGAGATAATTGGGAATTAATAAAAATTTGGTGGCATGTTTTTTCTTCTCAAGAACCACTGTGCCAGGAAAGATGAAACTTATATGGAAGCATCCTCAGGTAGTGTAGATTCAAGTTTGTTCAAATCATGACCCCCAGGGGTAGGGCGGGGCCAGAATGGCCGACCAAAGTTTTACATAGAAATATATAGGAAAATTCTTTAAAAACCTTCTTCTCAAGAACCACTGTGCCAGGAAAGATGAAACTTATATGGAAGCATCCTCAGGTAGTGTAGATTCAAGTTTATTCAAATCATGACCCCCGGGATAGGGCGGGGCCACAATGGCCGACCAAAGTTTTACATAGAAATACATAGGAAAATTCTTCAAAAATCTTCTTCTCAAGAACCACTGTGCCAGGAAAGATGAAACTTATATGGAAGCATTCTCAGGTAGTGTAGATTCAAGTTTGTTCAAATCATGACCCCCGGGGGTAGGGCGGGGCCACAATGGCCAACCAAAGTTTTACATAAAAATATACACGTATAGGAAAATACTTTAAAAATCTTCTTCTCAAGAATAGCCAAGCCATAATTGTTCATATTTATATGGAAGCATCCTCGGGTTGTTTAGATTCATGTTTCTTCAAATCATGACCCCCGGGGGTAGGGCGGGGCCACAGTGGACGACTAAAGTTTTACATAGATAGAATTCTTCAAAAAATCTTCTTTTCCAAAATAAAAAGCTATAATTGATCATATTTATATGGAAGCATCCTCAGATAGTGAAGATTCAAGTTTGTTGAAATCATGTCCCGGGGTAGGGGGGTGGGGGGGCAAAACGGCCAACCAAAGTTTTACATAGAAATATATAGGAAAATTCTTTAAAAATCTTCTTCTCAAGAATAGCAAAGCCATGATTGGTCATGGGACTACTTTAAGATTTAAACTTTTTAATAATAAACCAATTTCTACTTTTTCCTAGCCACAGTGCTCAGGTGAGTGATGTGGCCCATGGGCCTCTTGTTTTAAACAAGAGGCCCACGGGCCTTATAGGTCGCATGAGTATCATGTAACAACTTTTCAACAATTGAATTTGGTTCGTTTTTTAAACCAGAGGCCATGAAATTCACAATTTTGAAAGAGGCACCATTGCTTATCATAATTATAAACTTAGCATGCTTACTCTGTTTACTTAATACTCAGAGATAGATCAGAGTAACAAAGAGAAAATGCGCTTCCACTTTATAACCAGTTGTGCACCCCATCCCAAAGGAACCACAGACTCTGGAGCCACATATTTTAAAATTTTGGAAATTTAATCATAAATTTTATTTCATCATAAATGGCTGATTAATACCAAAGAGCAGATTTCAAAGCATTAATTTATTTTCAAACTATGTAAACCCCCCCCCCCCTCTATTCTCCTGACCCAGGAGGCAGGAAATTAACCATTTTGCTAGATGCACAGTTCTTCATCATAAATATATATACTTGGATTCTTGGCATAAAACCCAGGAGCAGAGGAGAAGATTTTTGAAGAATTAATGCATTTTCACTATGTAATCAATAGAGCCCCACCCTAAAACCAGAAACATTGACCCTGGGGCCATGAAATTCACAATTTTGGAAGATGCACTCTTGCTCATCCTACTATGTACTTACTTAGTTTATTTAATACCCAGGTACAGAGGAGAAGATTTTTGAAGAATTTATGCATTTTCACTATATAATCAATAGAGCCTCGCCCTAACACCAGAACCTCTGACCCTGGGGCCATAAAATTCATAATTTTGGTAGAGGCACTCTTGCTCATCATAACTATGTACTAAATTAGTTTATTTAATACCCAGTAGCAGAGAAGAAGATTTTCAAAGAATTCATGTATTTTCACTATATACCCGGTAATCAATAGAGCCCCTCCCTAACACCAGAACCCCTGACCCTAGGGCCATAAAATTAATAATTTTGGAAGAGGCACTCTTGCTTATCATACTATGTACTTAGTTAGTTTATTTAATACTGTAAACCAACTTTTATTCGCGACGACTTTCTTTTGCGATTTACCAGGGATAAACCAGTTTGCGACGATTAATTTTCGTGATCAAAGCCATATTGCATTTGTTTTTAATAGACAAATATACTATAAGGACCGGTTTGCGGCGAGAAATATTCGCGATGACGAGGCTCTCGCGAACTTCGCAAAAATTTCTCGCACGCGAATAAAAGTTGGTTTACAGTACCCAGGAGCAGAGAAGAATTTATGCATTTTCATTATACATGTATAATCAATAGAGTCCCGCCCTAACACCAGAACCCCTGACCCTGGGGCCATGAAATTCATAATTTTGGAAGAGGCACTCTTGCTTATCATACTATGTACTTAGTTAGTTTACTTAATACCCAGGAGCAGAGGAGAAGATTATCAAAGAAATGATCCATTTTCACTATTTAATCTATATAGCCCTGGCCTAGCACTAGAACCCCTGACCCTGGGGCCATGAATTTCACAATTTTGGTAGAGGACTCAATGCTCATTATATTTATGCTACTAGTTTGCCTGCTTGATGTCCAGGAGTAAAGAAGAAGATATTTAAAGATTTCATTAATTTTAGTGGATTTGGCCCCACCCCTCAGGCCCAAGGGGGGCGGGGACCATGAAATTCACAATTTGTTCCCCTGCACCCATAGGTGCTGTATACCAAATTTGGTTGAAATTGGTTCGTAGTTTCAGAGAAGAAGCTGAAAATGTTCAAATATTTACACACAACACACGATACATGACGGACGAAAACGGATAGCAATAGGTCACCTGATTGACTCAGGTGACCTAAAAATGGGTCAAGGTCATTAACATTTACTAGTAAACCTATGGAAAAGCCTTATTGCCAAAATGAATATAAATGCGAAATATGAAAACATTCAAAAGTGCAGACGGTAAAACATAGAATTTTTTTTTTTATTTTTTTTTTTTTTTTTTTACAAAATTACTCCAAGGTCAATAGGTCAAATATGTTGGTACATAAGAAAAGGTCTTGTCACAAGGAATACACTTAGCTTGTAAATTATGAAAGCCATATCTCCGACCAATCAAAAGGTATGAGCGAGGTTAAAGTTTTAGTAGACACAGATGGATGGACAGGGCAAAAACTATATACCTCCAAATCTTTATTTACAGGGGCGTAAAGACCTTTCAATATACATTGTATATGGCATCTACTGAATGCAGGAAATTCTATTGTAATTCCAATCAATTTAAAATGAATGGTCATTTTTATAAATGACTAATTGCAACATCAAGCAAGTTTAAACTTTGACATAAATGCCCTTTTTAAGCAACACTATTTTGCTAAGAATTTGCTAGCTTACGAGTTATACACTTAAACATTGATTCTTTTACAAGAGTAGAGTGTTATTTACTGATTAGTTCCTGCAACAAAGCATGCTTTCAATTTTGTTTTCAACCATCATAAATAGGAGGGCTGCACTGTAGTTTTTCTTTTGCTAAAACTTTAATTCCCCTTTACCCAAGAATGTTTTGAGATTGTTTTGTTTAAAATGGCCCATTGGTTCTTGAAAAGAAGTAGAAAATTTTAGATGAAAGATCACATGAAAGGCAGATGCTGGACACAGCTTTCAGCTCAGAGGAGCTAAAAATGTAAGCCCCAAATTAATTACTGATACAATAAAATAAACATAGATGCACCCTTCACCCTTTCAATAAAATATATAGATGAAAAGTACATTAAAAATTCCATTATTTTATTCTTCAGACAAATTCAATCTTGTCTAGGTAGAATTTTAACACACTTGTCATTTATTAGTTCAGTTAAAAAAATTTCCATCAGAGTGTAGATTGTCACATGTACTTCACAAAAGGCTCAAAGCTTTTAAGACCAAAACAAAATACATACAATATATACATGCATAATCACACTTTGGAATAAAACACAGAATAAACAAACATATTGTTACCTACAACATAAAGTTTATTATGCAGAACAGAAATTTTAAGCAAAATACATCAATGGCATAATGTGCTGACTGCTCTTAATGTTTGCAAATTTTAATGGTAGGCCATATTGTGGAATTAACCTTTAGTATTACCCGACTGGACTTGATTCACAATTTTAAACCTAATCAGTCAAAATGTCTTCATACATATTTCTAAACAATTACAGTATGTAGCCAGTTATAATTAAGATTAATTGTAGACAAGAGAGTAAAAAAAATTAAATAGCCATCTATCAAGCATGAA